ATCTATCCAGTGATGTCAGCAGCGTGTTGAAGTCCCCTGCTATGATTGTATTGCTGTCAATTTCTCCTTTGAAGTCCTCCAGAAAATTTTTAATATATTTTGGAGCTCCTATATTGGGCACATATATGTTTACCAAGGTTATATCTTCCTATTAGACAGATCCTTTCAATATTATGTAGTGACCTTCTTTGTCTGTAGTTATAGCCTTCATTTTGAAATCTATTTTAGCAGGTGTGAGTATTGCTACCCCAGTTGTTTTTTTTTTCCTTTCCGTTTGCTTGGAAGATTTTTTTCCATCCTTTCACTTTCAACCTATGTGAGTCTTTTTTTGTGAGGTGGGTCTCTTGTAAACAACATATATGTGAGTCATGCTTTTTTATCCAATCAGCTAATCTTTTTATCAGAGCATTCAATTCATTTACATTTAAAGTGATTATTGATATGTACTTATTTATTGCCATTTTGTTTAGTGTGGTTATATATTTTTTCCTGTTTCTTCTACTAATTACAGCAGTCCTTTTAACATTTCTTGCAGTGCTGGTTTGGTGCTAATGTATTCCCTTAATCTTTTTTTTTTGGTCTGGGAAGATGTTTATTTGACCTTCTATTTTGAACAATACCCTTGCTGGATAGAGTAGTCTTGGATTCAGATCCTTGTTTTTCATGACCTTGATTACTTCATGCTATTCCTCTGGCCTGTAGTGTTTCTGTTGAGAAGTCTGCTGATAGCCTTATGGGGTTTCCTTTGTAGGTAACCTGTTGCTTATCTCTTACTGCCTTTAGGATTCTCTCTTTGTCTTTAATTTTTGGCATTTTAATTACTGTGTGTCTTGGTGTGGGCCTGTTTGGGTTCTTACTTGGGGCTCTCTGTGCTTCTTGAACTCAAATGCCTTCTTCCATCACCAAATTAGAAAAATTTTCTGTCACTATTTCTTCAAATATATTCTCTAATCCTTGCTCATTTTCTTCTTCTTCACGGACTCCTATCATGCGAATATTATTACATTTCCAGTTGTCCCACAGTTCTCTTAAGCTATCTTCCTGTATTTTCCTTTTGGTTTTCTGATTGATTTTTTTATACCCTGTCTTCTAATTCACTGATCCAAGCCTCAGCTTCCTCTATTCTGATGTTTAGTCCTTCCAATGTGTTCTTTATTTCTGCTATGTCATTCTTCATTTCTTCTTGGTGGTTTTTCATTTCCAACTGGTTGATTTTCAATGTTCCTGTGTGTTTACTCATGGTGTTGATGTCTTTACTCATGCTGTTCAGCTTCCTCAAGACCATGGCTCTGAATTCTACCTCTGATAACTTGCTTAACTGCATTTCATTTATCTGATCTTCAGTAGAGGTCTCTTGTTCTTTCATTTGGAATTTGTTTCTTTGTTTCACATGTGGTCTATCTTTGAGAATGTAACATGTGCACTTGAGAAGAATGTATATTCTGCTGCTTTGGGATGAAAAGTGTTGTAAATATCAATCGAATCCATCTAATCTAGTGTGGTAAGGTCACTGTTTCCTTGATTTTTTTTGTCTGGAAGATCTATCCAGCGATGATAGTGAGTTGTTGAAGTCCCCTACTATGATTGTTGCTGTCAATCTCTCTTTAAAATTCTCAAGAGTTTTTTAAATAATATATTTAGGTGCTCCTGTACTGGACTGAATGCTCATATGTTTATAAGGGTTATAGCCTCTTGCTGGATCAGTCCTTTTAGTATTATGTAGCGACCTTCTTTGTTGCTTGCTATGACCTTTGTTTTAAAGTCTATTTTTCATACTTTTTTTTTTTCATTTCCATTTGCATAGAAAAATTTTTTCCATCCCTTTACTTTCATCCTGTGGGAGTCTTTTTTTCTGAGGTGGGTCTCTCATAGACAGCATATATATAAGTGATGTTTTCTTATCTATTCAGCTATCCTATGTCTTTTGATTGAAGCATTTATTTAATCTATTTACATTTAAGGTTAATATTGGTGGTAATAAACTGATTTAGCCTTTTTTATTTTTGGTCTGCAAAGATCACCTTCCATTTTCTTTCTTTTTTTTTTTTTATCCTCACACAAGGACATTTTTCCATTTTTTGTTCAGATAGAGTGGGAGGGAGAGAGAGGAAGAGACAGAGAGAGAAACATCGACGTGAAGGGACACATCGAGTGGCTGCCACCCGCACGACCAACCAGGGCCGGGGACAAACTGCAACCGAGGTACGTGCCCTTAGCAGGAACCGAACCCGGGTCTCTCTGTACCGCAGGCCGACGCTCCAACCGCTGAGCCAAACCAGCCAGGGCTCACCTTCCATTTTCAATGATAGCCATGCAGATAGAGTAATTTTGATTTTAGTTCCTTGTTTTTCATTATTTTGAATATTTCATGCCATTCCTGTCTGGTCTATAGTATTCCTTGTAGGTAACTGACTGTCTCTTGCTACCCTTAAGATTCTTTGTCTTTAACATTTGCCATTTTAATTATGATGTGTCTTGGTGTGGGTCTCTTTGGGTTCATCTTGATTCGAACTCTCTTTGCTTTGTGAACCAGTGTGACTTTTACCTTCACCCAATTAGGAAAGTTTTCTATCACTATTTCTTCAAATCAATTCTCTATCCTTTGCTCACTTTCTTCTCCCTCTGATATTCCTATGATGCAGACGTTGTTATGTTTCACATTGTCCCACAGTTCCCTTAAACTATCCTTGTGGTTTTAAACACTAAAATTAACTCTAACCACCTTCCCTTTTTCTGTTGCTCTGGACTGGAGATCCCTGTGTGGGGCTGAGACCTCATGCTCCCAGAGGCTGGGGGCTCTGCTGCCACACTTTTGCTCTGGCTTCCCTGTCATGCAGGTACACAAGTTGGCTCACGAGCTCCATCTCTCCTCTTGTCCTCTGTCCACATTCCTGGCCTACAATACTTCAGATCAGCTACACTTCATCTGGTTTTTCAAGCCAAATATTCCACAGTTTAGCTGCAAGTCTGGTCTGGGGTTGGCAGCAAGTGGACAGAGCCTCTAGGTACTCTGCCATTTTGGAATTCCAACCTCTTTTAGTAAACACTGAAATTAAAAATTTTTTTTTGCACTGTATTTGTCCCAAGATAGCGTCTAAATTTATCCGCTAGTTCACTTTTCTCTTCTTTTGCTGTGGCTCATCTACAGTTTAAACTATCTTTTGAGTCTTTAGTGTTTTTTCTCATGTTGAGTTCTGTTTGTTTTTTTTTGCGCAGATATTCAAATCTTTCTGTGACAGTATACCTTCATTGTTAATTATTTCAATTCCCTCTATTATTTCTTTACATACTTTAAACAGACTTATTTTATTGTCCAATGTTTGATGATTTCATTATCTTAAGTAATAAGTGCTTGTGTCGTTTTTTTTTGTTTGTTTTCACTGGTGATTGATTGCTAATTTCTTTGTATATTTTGTAATTTCCCTATGTATCTTGTAAGGCAGAGCTATGAGCTTATGTTTGCTTATCTGTGAGAACCAGAAAGCCTGGGTAAAGAGCATTTCACACCAGATAATGTGGTTTTGCTTTTACAGTCTCTGAGTGAGCTACTAAACCAAACTAAGTTATTTTTCCAGTTAAAAATTTTTAGAAGATGTAGATATTGTCCTTTCAAACCTTAAACTCATGGGAAGGTAAGCATAGAGTCATGAAAGATGAGTGAGAACTCTCATATTTCTTTGAGCCGTGACTGAGACAAACAAGTTTCCTTGGAGTCTCCTCTTCCTGGTTGATGGAATTGTTTTTCTTAATCTATCCTTTCACTAACAGATAACCCATTGAGTATCATGAGAAAAGGATTAGCATAACTTTCTCTTTTTCAGCGGATACATTTAACCTTGGGATAACTTCCTGGCTGTTTAATGAAAACCTAATAAAGGTAGATGAACTGCCAGCTGTTTTCATAGGCAACAGCCTATGGAAATATCATATGCTCAGGACAACCTGGAAGCTATGGATATGGAACTGTTACAGAGATACTGTGCCCATGGGGACATAGAATTTCTAATTAAACTGTCCCTATACTCACCTATGAGATCTTGTTCACACTTGAGTCACTTGGTCACTAACTCCATGACTGGTGCAAGGGTTCCCACGAAAGAGAAACATTACAAGCTGCCCTGCTATCATTCTATATCTCCTGTAATTAATTTTAATGCCAAGTGTAACACATTGTCATGAAGGTAGCTCTAGCTGAGCCTAAGATGCCGTTGGTAGGCATTTCAGGAGTTCTAGCTAAGAGAAGAGGCATGTGGAGAGGGAAGGGAAAACTGAGTCTCTACCACTCCACTTTGTATAAGTCCAAGAAAGTAACTCCTCTCTCCCAACGTGACATTAAACCCAAAGCTTCTAAGCAGTGAAGATCAGTCAAAATCTCAATGAAGCTACGGTGTCAGGGTTAATTTACCAATCTGACCTCTAGCTTTCTTTATATTTTTGTCCCTTACTTTTTTGAGAGCTAAGTACCTTGCTCTTATGGTACCTTTATGTACCTTGCCTTAAAATTTGCTGGAATAAGTTAGGATGTATATAAAAAATATCTATAAATGGGACAATTTCATTATATGCTTAAAAACAGAGTAAATATCCAAGTTACAGAAATATTGCAACAAATTAGAAAGGGAAGTACATGAATAATCACAACCTCACTTAGAGAGTTTAAATGTATTAAAATGCTGTTAGAAATTATAATAGCAGTGGTTTTACCTTGTAGAGGTAAAAATAACCATATTGCAGTTAAAAACAAAGACATGAAAAACACAAATTGATCCAGTGGAACCGAATAAACTATCCTTGAACATAACAGTAATTCTAAGTTCAAAGTATAGGACAATATTATTTATGTTCAAACTATTTCTTTAGTATACGAAAGCTAGATTATATAAGCAAAGGAGAAATCAGATTTTCTACCAAAGCCTGATACATATTTTTGTATATGATTCTTAGAAAACTACATATATTCATTTTTACTTTGGCTATTAAAATATCAGAGCTAAACATACCTGGCTATGTAGCTCTCACTGTATGTTTTTCTTTTGCTTGTAAGGACACCTGAGGCAGGATTTCGTGCCAAACTAGGTGGTGTGGTATTTCGAGGTTTGATGTTAGCTCTAGAGAGAGAAAGAGGTGGCATTGAAAAAGCATTAAATAATTATTTATTTCTCAAATTGCTATTTGCATGATTAGAAAAATAATTAAAGCTACAGAGAGGTAAGTCAAAGATTAAAATTCAAATTATTTAAAAATGGAAAACAGTAGTTAAAACTAAAAATAAACCAAATCATTTTGCATTTACTAACATTCTCTTGAGGGTGTATAAAACCAATTAAAATATGTATATATGCTTTACATTAAATGTTTAAATTAATCATTCTGAAAAGCTTAAAGTTTTTTTAGTTTAAAATTGATAGTTCAGTCAAAATAAAAAAGTGGTTTGTTAAACGTCTACAAATAACTGTTAAATAATATGCTAAGCATATGAGATGTGGTAAAAATAATTAGCTACCACTTTAAACATTAGCTAGCTGCTTTAAAGAGTAATTTTTAAATTTACGAAAGTCTCTTATAAGAAACATCAACTCAAATAAATGGGTTAATATAATTTTCCCTTTAAAAATTTAATTTCACTAACCACATAGCCTGGGCTATTTCTTTCAGTAGTGGGAAAGGTTTGGTCCAGGCATCACTGAATGCCCTTTCTGAGACTTCAGGAATCCAAGGAAAATTAGATGGTTGTATAATAGGTAATAGTGAAAATACAGGCTTTGAAATGCAGATGAATCTGTACTGAAATCCCAACTGCTACTGACCAACTTTGTGATAGTGGTCAACCTGAGACCAAGATCCCTCATTTATAAAACTTGACCATCCTCACTTATCTTATAGGAAGTTACAAGATATAAATTGCAATTTATATGAATATTTAGCAATGCTGATATTATAATTACTATGGCTATTCCTACTACAAGTGTACATTTATAGAATAGTGCTTACTATATTTGGTACTGCTAATTTCTAATTGCCTTCATACATAAACTTATTTAATCCTCATAATAACAATATGAAGTAGGCAGAATTAATGACTGCACTTTACAAATGTAGAAACTGAGGCGAAGAGTGGGTAAGTAACTTACCAGGGTGACGCAGCCAGTGTGTTGCTGAACCAGTGGTTAGATTATTCAATAAAGTATTAGTTCCCTCCCCTTCTTTAGAGATTTACTCAAATTTTTTCATTTCAGAGATAAGCAATGTTGTGTTATATAAACAAGCAAAAGACTTCTTAAATTTTCTTTAGATTGAAAGTTCTTAAACTTTGGCTAAAATTCTTCCTTGTCTACTATACTGCAAAGTTGGAGAGAATTTCCTAAAATTTCAAATAGCGACCTTGAAAATAATGTAGGTAATACATCTATTTTTTCTCAAATAACACTATAATACCAAATATGATACATATGTAAATGTGTTTAATCTCCACAAAAATTTATAAAGATATTATTCCCATTTTAAAGTTGAAGAAATTCATATTCAGAGAGATTAACTATTACATGGCCAGAGTACTTTAATTTAAGTAGGTCATATTACAGATCTAATGTTTAACATGCAACACTGTCATTCAAAGAGAAGCTGCTTTGAAAGAGTTACTTTAAATTATTTCTAAACTTCAACAAGAATCACCTTGCACCTTGGTGCATGGATGGGTTACCCAGGATCTCAAATGACCTTCAAATAGTCACTGCAAGTCCACCTATAAGGTGTATTCTACTCTGCTGTTAGACAGCCTCTCTAAGGATGTGGCAGAACTGCTACTATGCCTTTTTAAGAATTCAATCTGTAAAAAATCATTGCCAATAAAAGGCAATTCTTCCAGTGAAAGTCATAAGAGAAACAGAAAGAACATACTTTTAAAAAAATAATTTTTCTTTATTGATTTTATAGAGAGAGGAAGGGAGAGGAAGAGAGATAGAGACCTCGATGAGAGGAGAACATCGATTGGCCGCCTCCTGCATGCCCGCCCCTGGGGATTGGCCCTAATTGGGAATCGAACCAGCAACCTCTTGGTGCATGGGTTGACGCTCAACCACTGAGCCACACCAGCTGGACAAAAGGACACACTTTTTATTTTTTGACTCTAGAAGCAAGTCTTGTTAGAAATTCTATCATTTTCATATAATGTGTGCATGAGATATACAGATAATACAAACACATCCATGCATATACACACACAATTTCACCATATCAATAATTTAAAGTTGTATATGTAATTAGAAAAAATAGAGAAAAAAATTATAAATAGCTGCCATTATTAAATACTGATCACATATTTTTAGTAACATCTTCTAAAAAGCAGAATCTGAATGTTAAGAACCATTCTTAGAGATTGTGAAGAACAATCTTGATCAGTACTTGACATATGTTACCCCAGCCTCACCTGGTCAAATCTGTTAGCTTTACATAGTTTCAGCAGTTATGGGCTGGGGATTGAACCTACAACCCAAATACGTGCCCTTGATCGGGAATCAAACCCGAGACCCTTTGGCCTGAGGGTCAACGCTCTAACCACTGAGCCAAACCGGCCAGGGCAAGTAGGTTTAAATTTTAGAATTGTACTTAATCTAGCTTACTGCTTCTCAGTGCTTCTTTGTGCTCTGCTACAGACAGCAGCAGAAGTACAAAGGAAAATGGTTCAGGACACAGATTCCTCCTTCTAGAATTTATCATTAACTTCTTAAAAATAACTCAGAGCTGCTGGCTGCTAATATCTTCAAGACTTCTCCCATCTTTATTTTATTGTATATCTGGTTAAATTTATTACTTTTCATACGAGTAAGAGAATACAGTATAGTACACCTTGGTTTAAAAGTTACCTAAGTGAATTCTGTTTAATAATATATTTTTCAACTTTATTAAGTAATTTAACTTATTAGACCTTAATTTCATAATGTTAAAATGAGAGGGCTAGACTTGTATTGGAGTCCAAACTAGTAACCCTTGAAGATGTAAGTGGAAGAGTTCCAAAATGACTTTCATACCCTTTTCCTGTTTTAGGTGGAATTCATAACCATCTAATAAAAAGACAGAAGATCCCTAGATTAAATATTTTCTAAAATAGATTTTTCTGCCTTTTTTACAATTCATCATCTGCTTAACTAAAAGATAACCTAGCAATATTATATTATATATATGGCATAATATTCCCTATACTCTTCTTTTAAAAAATATTACTCCTAAAAGGAAGCTTCTTAAAAATAACAATTATCAAAGGTGACTACTATTTCAACCCTGTACAAATTAAAATTTAATGGATAAATTATATGCTCTAAAACCAGCTTTAGGTTAATAGAAATGCTCAACAAAAAGAGCAAACTAAGTCCTAGAAGAGTATTTAGTACTTTCTGGTTTAAAAATGATCAAATAAGCCTGGCCGGTATGGCTCAGTGGATTGAGTGTTGTCCCATGGACTGAGAGGTCCTGGTTCGAGTGTTGTCCCATGGACTGAGAGGTCCTGGTTCGATTCCTGGTCAAGGCACACGCCTGGGTTGTGGGCTCGGTCCCCAGTAGGAGGCGTGAGGAGGCAGTCGATTGATGTTTCTCCCTCATATCGATGTTTCTATCTCTCTCTCTAAAAAATCCATGAAAACATATTTAAAAAAATTAAAATGATTAAATAAGATTCTTAAAGTATAGGAATGTACAAATTTAGAGTATTCAGTATATAAAACTTTTAAGGAAATATCTGAAAAAGATTAACCAAACTGAGTCACAGATACTTACTTGTAAATGGGTAATAACTCATGTCTTTTGATGGCACTGTCTGATTTTGTGTCACTGTCATACAACCTTTGCACATGTCTTCCAGTTCGAAGTGGAGGGCCTAACTTGTCCATCTTACTATTAAAATATATAAAGGTGTACCCATAAGGAGATTGCTATGTTTGTTTCTTGAGATCAATTGTTTTAAAGACATTATTCCGGTTCATCAGAAAGCCATCCCCCAAGCTCTTAATTATCTGACTGCCAGGGTAAGGACTAATGTCAAAAAGAATCTTCAGATAGTTCATACAATGCCCAGTATTAGATATAAAAATTCCGACTATGCAGGCCACCTTGCCAGTTCTGATGATTAGCCAAAGAAATGCCACATTTATGCATAGCAGGGCAATGCAATCAATTAAGACACTGAAAACAACAACTGGGTCAAGTAAAATTTGTGATGCTGGATGTTATTCTAGTTAATAAGATAGATTTATCTGACGCTTGTTCTTATGGAACTCCCATATAATCTCACTTTTTCCCATCCCTGAATTCACAGAAACTTTCTTTTTTTCTTTACTCTTTTATCATTTTCCCTGCACTTTAAAATTCCAAATACAAACTAAGAAATCAAATAATATTTATATCTTTACCCAATTTGACTTCCTACCAAAGAATGACTATTTTAGAAATTTACCCAAAGTAAAAATGATCCTATGTGAAAAACCATGGAGAGTAATTGAAAAATGACATGTAAAAATGTGAAGTGGCCACGCCAGAAGTATAAAGGATCTCCATCTAGAGGGCAATAGAGGAATTGCTGGTTTGTAGATATTTAATTGTTGTACATTAACCAAATAACTGAATCATATGTACTATTACCAACAATATGCATTGATAGTAGGGGAACAGGGAAAAACTACATAATGAAATTAGGAGAACTACCTTAAATGCCTACTGAAAACACCTCCATGCTTGGTAACTTTAAAGTACACTCTTTTTAAGGATGTTTGCTCGTTCATTCTGTCACTATTCACTGACTGTACAAATCCTGAGCACCTAACAATGTGTCAGGCACCGTGCTACATTCTGGGGCTATCATGGTAAATAAGAGACTGGATGCTTGGTTTTATGGAGTTTAGTGCCTAAAAAGGAATCTATCTATTTTTCTGGATTATAAAGGTCTCTAAGAAGAAACATATTTCACCCACTTTTACATTCTTTTCCTATCCTGTACTTAGCAGGCATTTTGTTGTAAAGGTCACTGATATGAATACTTTGTATGTAGTGGTGTTTACATTACTTAAAATATTTTAAAGTTTTAAAAAATGCCTTCATTAAATATATATTAAACATAATTTGTAAAGTGTTTGAGATTGAATTTGACAGTTTATTTGTGAAAGATTACTGGAAAAGTTCCATATTTGGAATTAAAACTAACAAATCAGAACTTTCTTTGAATTATCAAAACATTGTTCCAACTGCTACCTTAACAAAATGTATCTGGCTTTAGAATAAAAAATAAAGTATTTTATTTTCTGTCTCAGAAAAAAAGTTACAAAAATTAAAATTTAGGAAATTTTAAACTACATTTTAAAGACAGGTTCCTCTAACATAAGAACTACTCAGATCTTACATATTATATACAAACAACAAAGTTAAATTTTAGAAAGGAGATGTATAAAACATAATAAAAATCTAGAGGTAATTATCTAATGAAAATATTATATATATTCCATATATAAGAGGATTGTCAGTTAGTTTCAGATTTTTGAAAACCTAATTGAAAGGCAGGTTCCAATGACAATTTATCATGCCACATACCCATGGTATAAATTCGACTCAATTTATCTATTCATTTATCTACATATATATGTACACACGTGTGAATATAAACAAACAATTCAAATGTTACTTAGGCTAAATGTAAGTAAATGTTAGTCTTAAACTAAAATCACTTAAATTTATGTTCTAATTTGCTGCTTTATACTATGCTAATATCAAAGTATAACCATACAAAAACTAAATTTATAAATTTCAATATAATCGACTTTACCTACATAAAAACTTATACATATAAATATGTTATATATTTTTTATATATAAAATAAACATATAAAGATATACATATAAAATCTGGATTACACATATTTTTAAATATCATGTAATAAAAGTCAATAGTCAATATTGGGATAATTAAGTAAATCTTTAAAATATTAGTTTATGATAGAACTTTCAAATACTTAAATCTTTTCCTTAAAGTACCCATATCTATGCTGTAACAGACATTTCTCATGTATCACCTTCTTATTGATTTTGGTGTACACAAATACTTCCTTGCTCCTGTCTCCTTTTCAATCAAACCCCTAATTTCTGGGCCTCCACCTCCAGTAACGCTAAAGATAAGTCAAAGCAGAAATAGCATGAGGAAAATTTGAAAAGAATCTGAAATCTTTGCAGAAGTGGTGATCTTATCAAAAGGAATGTTAAGGGCTTCAATCCAACTGATTGCTCTTTGGCTGAAGTTTCTTCTCTCTGTCTTTCTTGGTCTTGCAAACCATCAGTTAAGGAAGTGAAGAACATGAATATAGAAACCAGGAAGTCTAAATCTATTACAGGTTTTGCCTTGACCTCAAGGGCCTTAGATGTTTCAAGTTATGAAAAAAATGCACCTTTGTTGATTTTCATACTGAATTCATACATCATCTACTTCTGAGGTTACTTTGAGAATTCACAGATGTTGGGAAAGTGCAATAACAAATCCACTTTTTTATGTATTTTGAGGAGTATAATTTCAATCATCTGATAGTACCCCATTAAGGAACTAGCAATATCAATGTTTTTGAGTACTGCATTGACATTTTCATTTAAAGGTTCCCATTCAGTAATGGCAATTATTATACACCGAAGGTCTGCAAGAAATTAAGGCAGGAATAAACAAATCCATTCAGCAGTAAAAGCAGCCTTGCTCTCCTAAGCAAGACAAAGGAAGGTATTTGAAGCTAACCAAGCACTCCCACATAGCAAGCATTTTAGCATTCTCAACAATATGATCATGCAACATAACACAGATTTTCAATTTCATGTATGTCCTTAAATTAGCACGTGGATTTGGTCAGAGTCAACATAAATGTATATTTTCAGTCCCTCACTGTTCTTTCATTTCAATCTCCAAACTGTGTTGGGTTAATAAGTTAAAAAACATTTTGGTTTCACAAAACACTCATCTATAGCCCAAGTTCCTAGGGAGCCCAAGTGGCTAAAAAATAACAGCTCTGTCTTTGGGTGTAAATGAAGAATCCTTAAAAACTCCTATCTTCAAATTATAAATATCCAATGCCTATAATGATTTATTTATTCTAAAATAGGGAGTAGCCAACTTTCCTGTAAAGAACTGGACAGTAAGTACTTTAGGCTTTGTGGCTAGACCGTCTCTACCACGAATATGCCACTGTGCCATCGGAACAGGGAGGCAGTCACAGACAACGCAAAACGTACTTAAAAACTAGACATTTATTTCTTACTGTTGTTAATATTAAGTATGAAAAACCAAAGCCAATTTTTGTATTAAGAAATATTCCTAACAGTCATTCTGTTGTTCCAAAGTAAAGTTGTTTTACACAGTAACAGATGTATAGCTGTGATAGTTTAGCTATTGAAAATTATCAGCTGAAACATCCATTTAAAGCTGGTAATTAACCATTAAGAAAACACAATTCCCAAGGCAAGACTGTGAACTCTGTGACAGAATTCATATGTGGCAATATTTATGTAAAAGCTCTGCATTTCATAATACTTCTAAAATCTCCTAGGATTAAAGATAGTCATCTTCTAGAACAAGGGAAAAATGTCCATTGGGTGTATGCTTAGCTTTAAAAAAAAAAAAAAAAAAAAGGTTAAAATCGGTTGACCCACAGGTTATCCAGAAGCAAACATAAGACTTTTTCCCAGAACAGAGACAAATTTTTCTGTGGTATGATTCCAATATATGCTAAATATCACAGATCACTTGCATGCGCGACTAAAGCTGAACACAGTCAAGACTGGGTAGCCCGGTAGGTGTGGCTCAGTGGCTGAGCATTGACCCATGCACCAAGAGGTCGCAGTTCAATTCCTGGTCAGGGCATATGCCCAGGTTGTGGGCCTGATCCCCAGTGGGAGGCATGCAGGAAGTGGCCAACTGATGTTCTTTTGCATCGATGTCTCTCTCTCTCTCTCTCTCTCTCTCTCTCTCTCTCTCTCCCTTCCCCCTCTCTAATATAAATACATAAATAAATAAATAAATAAATAAATAAATAAATACTGTATATACAGGCTTAGAATAATTCCAAATCACTGAAATTATTTCATTTTACTAATCTCAGAAGGCACTCAATTTCTTGAACATTTCAGCTAACCAGATGTCTTAATTCCTTTACACTATCCTGAATCACCTGTGTCAATGGAAGTAATAGTTGCCATACAAACTTCATATAATGATTCCATTAGTCCCAGGATCATGATCCTATGATATGCCAAAAGGGTGACAAAAGAAGAATTCAAGTTATTAATTCATTTCCTTTTTTCATTTTTTTGTCAAAAGTTTACTGTGTGCAGTCTGGCCAGTGTGGCTCAGTGGTTGTGCATCGGCCATGCACCAAGAGGTCGCCGGTTCGATTCCTGGTCAGGACACATGCCCTGGTTGTGGGCCCAAACCCAGTGGGGGGCATGCAGGAGGTGGTCAATAGATGTTCTCTCTCATTGATGTTTCTCTCTCTCAGATCAATAAAGGAAAAAAAAAGTTTATTGTGTGCAAATATACTGGGCATTATACAACACTTTGTAGTTATATCTGTAAGGCAGACACACAGAGCTTTATGATCACAGAGCTTATGAATCTAGCAAGGGAAATGGCAACCAGATCATTACCCCAATAATTCTAAAAAGGGAATGAAGTCTGCCACTAAATAGACAGCCAGATGATTCTGTTTAATAGAGTAATATAGTAATGTTCTAGTTAATATAGTAATATTAGCCAGATACAAACACCACCGCTCTCTTCCCAGTATCTAAAAACACTCCTTTAATATTTAAGGATCATATATGAATGGACAATTGGAGTTTGAATAGTTATGTTTTACAGTTTAATACGATGCAAGAGAATCAGAAATTTTAACTGTTCATCATATTTTAAGCAGTACGTAACAAAATTATGTGCTCAAAATCTTTCATTGTTAGTAAAACCATTTTCTCCAAGGGATCATGTAAATGTTGATCAGATTTTCTTAGGTCAGTTGACAAGGTCTAAGCAGAGTCACAGATGTTGTCAGTGAGACAGAGAAATAAGATGGGCACAAAGTCAAAGACATAAAGCTGTTTAGTGGCAAAAAAGCGCCCAGATGCCTAGTTTTCTAATTCAGTCAGTGCCCCTTTCTATTACACAAGCCAGCTTCACGTGCCCCATTTAAGAGTACAGGGTGCCAGTGCAACTCAGTATTGCCAACTGATAGAATTACCAGCACAGGAGCAGTACTGAAAAATACCAGCTTTTAATTCATCTTCAGTTGCAAATGAAACTATAAATAATACTACAAACACAAACTATAACATGTAAAGCAATTCTTTGTGATATGGTTAGAAAGACTTTGTAAGTTAAAACACATATGGCTATGTCTATACTTTAGTTATTAAAGTAAAATCAGTAGAGAAGTGAGGAAAAAAATCAAGTAAGTTTTTGGCACTGGAAGCTGAGAACCTTTTACTTTTCAACGACCTGTTCTAATGATAACCTCTCTCTTTCTTAAAGATAGCCTGTTTCTTTTCGGAAGCAGAACAAAAAGAAGGAAACATTTAACTAATTAGATCTTGTTAGTTGGTTATTTTCTTTTTCTACAAAAGAAATTAAATTCCTTGTATTCTTGCACTTTCTACACCGTCCATATTAGGAAGCAAAAGGTAATTACTCTTATTTGACATTTACCCTCATATATATTTACTATATAAAAACTAAAGTGATAATCTATATCTGAAAGTAATGTGTGCTATATTTCCCATACCAACTTTATTTGGGTTTCTAAAAATATAGACATAAGCCCTTGTTCGAATGGTCACGTAGTAATCCTTCATTTTCTGACATCAAAATGGACGAGAAAGTAAGCTTCTACTAGAATATGAGGTCTTCTATTAAAATCTCTCTCTAGTGTTATCAATAATTTTCCCACAGTAACATAATGGTTGAGAGCTTCATTATGCTACTTGATTGAAAGCCATGAAATAAAACTGTAGAAAAATAACAAGTTCTTAGAAAGTATTAACTAAAAGGAAGAGAATCACCCACACTATTACTATTGCAGCATATTTGGTCTTTTTTAGTCTACACCTATTTTTCTAGTTTTCTATCATAGCAAACATGGAGTTTGTATCCTATAGTCCACTCATGTTATAGCAGAATCCGCTTACTAACATTTTTATATATTTTCATGGTTGCATAATATCCCTTTGTTGATTTTCAACATTTGCTCTTCAAACAAAGCTAGACATATTTAGGTGACTTTATATTTTTTACATTATAATAAAAACATATGAAAAGAGACTAATGTTTAGAGCTATAGATACCCTGATTTGTGTCCTGCTTCCAACTTTTCACAGCTGTGCGGCTTTGAGCACAGCTTCTCTGATCCGCTGGTTGTCCATAGTAGAGTGGTTTTAACCAAAATATATGTAAAATGTCTAGCACAGTGCCTGATACATAATGCTTAATAAATCATGGTTATTACAAAAATCTTCAATATTTAAAATGAATTACTTAGCTATATTCCCTGAGTAAACTTTTTCAATCAAAAATATAAATGTTTTAAGACTTTTGGTAAATGTTACCAGATATCCTTCCAATATTGTTATACTAATTTAGCAACGAGTGTGGTCCTGACATGCAATATAAGACAAAGAACTTAGAAAAAAAATTAAGGTTAATGAAAAAGCTACATATAAAGCTACAAAATAAAACCTTAGTATTATTTATACAGATATACATACACATATACATATATATGTCACTAATAAATTAAGTAGACTCAATGTAGACTTACCCTGAATGAGGGGCTGCTATCCCTTTATGCGAGGGGGATAAAGGCTGAAGTTTGTTTCCCAAAGAGCTGCTAACTGAAGACACTTTACCTGAAGGCACAGCTTATAATAAAAAGGTATTAGTTTTAATGACACTCTGAAAATTTTTAAAAATCACACAAAACAGCATCTGACAAGGACAACAATGGTTTTGCGGCAATAAATCTAAACAAGTTATCAACTAAGAACTATTTTTGAAAAAAAATGAAATTTCCAGGGAACAACATATAGTACTCTTCATTTCTAATTTCTATATTTCTTTCTTATAACTTACATACATATAAAGGTACACTTCAGTCAATATCCTCTTCAAATCATTAAACATTTGTCTATTAAGGACAACTGTCAAATTCAGAGCAGTATCGGTTGAAATGAGGGAAAATGGTCAAAGAATCAATAAAAGAACTTGGTTGACTATTCTGAACAAATGCTATATCATTAACAACATCGAGGATATACACTGAAGCTAAAAAAAAGAAAAGAGGACTATAAAATATCCAAAGTAGCCTGGCTGGTGTGGTTTAGTGGTTGAGCATCAACCATACACCAAGAGGTCACCAGTTCATTTCCTGGTCAGGGCACAGGCTTGATCCCTTATATGGAGCATACAGGAGGCAGCCAATCGATGTTTCTCTCTCATCAGTGTTTCTATCTCTCTCCCCCTCTCCCTAACTGTTTAAAATCAATAAAGCATATTTTTGAAAAAAAAAAAAGTCTAAAGTAGAAGCTATTGAAAGTTACTTTATTTACCCAAAAATAATTACCCTCCCTACCGCTTCTTGTTAATTATAAATCTATTTTAATAATCCAAATAGAACACTATCTTCATTTCCTTTTCTACCAACACTGTAAATGACAACAAAGAGAGGAAACATGTCATTTCATGGATGCCATTACCTACAACAGTCTTGCTGGTGCCACTTGGCTGTGGTAATCGTGAAGATCCTGATGATAGGGTCCCAGGGGAATTTGACTTTTTAAGAGCAGGTGGCTTATACTAAAATAATAAAAATAAAATATTTTATAAACATAATTTTTGAATATCAATAGTAAACTAGTGTTTCACAACCAGTATTTCATCCTGTTTAATGAACAATCCTATTGTTACCCAAAGTGAGAAAGCATAGCTTAGAAAGTGTTACCTCAGAGAGAGGTTTCCCGAAATGTTCCTTCTCAAAACTGGTTACTGAAAGTTTGGCTCAGACATCCTATTGCTAAAATAAACAAAGAGCAACCTTCCTCAGTTCAGAGGAAAAAAGATTTAGTGGAAAACATTTCCTTAGTGTTAGATTTTAAATGCTAAGCAAGTATTAACAGAAAAACTTGAGACACCAGACAATGCTCACTGGGCGGTACAGCTTTCAAAGGTCACAATTTTACATGTTCCTGGGTGTGGTTTAATAGTTCAAATGTATAATCTGGCTACACTTCCTGATAAAAATTCCCAAGATTACATATTAGTCCAGACAAGTTATATAATAGCTGCCTTTGGCATATCCCCATCGGGGAGAGACAGCCAATTCTGGCTTCATGTCCTCGCCACACTGTGCCAAAGGAATGGGGTATGGGCTGAGCAAAGACAGGGCACATCAGCTTATCTTGTTTAGTTTTATTTCTGCTCCACTTTCTAGAGGGATATCACCATTAATTTTATTTTACTGTAATTTTGTTCAAACTTGAGCCAAATTTTTTTCATTCACTAAATACAAAATATCTTATCAATCGCCTGATCTGATATAAAGAAATGCACTTGGTTCAGGGTTAAACCCCAACTTAACAACAGAACAGAAATAAAGACTCAGGCCACCTTAGTGCCAGCCCAGTGCTTTACTATAAGGTGATTACTGCACTTGTGTGTACTTGAGTTAGCCTAATGCAGTATTTACACTGCTTAGGAGTTTATGATGAGTTTTCAACCTGGTTTTCAAAAATCAAATCATATTTTATAACCAATAATCAGTAGTAGCATTACTACTAAAATGCTGCTGGCTAAACACAAATTTTAAAGTCAAACGTGTAACTCGGAAATTCAGTATGTGACCTTTAAAAAAACAAATCTTGATAAGAGGGTCTCACACACACTCAACTACCATGCACATTTGAAACTATTATGCTAGAAACTAAAATTTTTTAAGTGCTTGGTAAATAGAAAACCTTCAATAACTGTCAGATAAACAAATGACTAGAAGACTTTGGAGATAAGCCATATAAAGACAGTTTCTTTTAAAAATGAGGTGTTTCTGGTTTATGTTTTATTATTTTTTAAAAACTAATTTTGAGAGAGAGGCAGAGAGAGATGAATTTGTTGTTCCACTTATTGATGCATTTATTCGTTGATTCTTATATGTGCCCTGACTGGGGATGGAACCCACAACCTTGGCATATGGAGCCGACACTCTAACCAACTGAGCTGCTCGGCCAGGGCCGACGTGTTTCTGGTTTAAAATGGCATATGTTAGTATGTCTCTCCCACAGAAATACCAATGAAAATATTAGACGAGATTTTAAAATGAACCACAATATGGAAAAGAAGACCTAACAAAGAATTAGGTCTTTAGAAAATAAGACATGTCTTCTAAAAATAGGGCCCATAAAACTGAATTGAGGACAGAATTGGAGATCCACTCCTATTTTGTTAATTACCAAAAAAGAGTAAAATGATCTGCATAAATGAAGGCGGCATAGTACATATTGGGAGATGAAGCCTTTAGTTTGAGCACAGGCAGGAAGGGCCCTAGCAGCAGTACATTGGGACTATAGATATTTATGTGCATATTAGAATTTATTATTATTAACTGTTTACAAATAGAAAAAGGCAGAATATGCCTTTCAAAAGGTACTTTGTTTCTCTGCTTTCTATATTAGGCCTCCTACCACTTTACTCAATTTTATTGTCAGGTTTTCTGAGGTACCTAGAACCTAGCCCAACCTTATCTATCTCCTATATTTCCTATTAGTTTCAACAAGATCTAGTCAGGTTAGTTTCTTTTCAGAATCCTCATACTACTCTGAATGCCTCTTGTTTAAAACATATTCACCTGCTTCTCTGTAAGTTGCTGTTCCCCTGACCTAGATAATCTGACTCCTTCCTCACTGAGCTGTATTTTATCTATTTAACAACATCTTGCTGAAATTCGACCAGTGTTATGAAGGCTTTCAGGATGACTCTAGCTATCAACAATTTCATACAAGTTCATTCAGAAGAACAAGATAATTTTAATGCTATTACAGTCAATATATATTTTTTTCGTTCATTAAGTATTTGGTAGGTGCTGGTTATTTCATGTGTTTTTATGAAGATCACAACTCAAATAAATTTCCTTAGTAAAACATTTATATTTACAAAGACTTTTTATTGAATGGACAAGCTAAAAGAACGTGGAGGACATTCATTTCTTATAAAATGTTCTTATAAGATCACAGAAGGCACTATTTGGGCCGCTCCTCCAACTAAGCACTAAAAATGCCCAGAACTGATGATAAATAATATTGCATGTTGGTGAAAATACAGTTGTTAAATATGACAAGGACATATCTAAGGATCTTTAGGAAAAGCACTGTATTTAGTTTATCAATGTACACCCAAAACTTGCTACAGTGTCTGATGCACAGAGGGTACTCAATAAAAACTTGTTGAATGCATAAAGATGAGAAAATCTGAGGTTAGACTGAAACGAACATCTGTGTCGAGGCATAGAATCAGCACTGATACCATTTAGGTAGGAAAATCAACTACCTGGATTTCACACTTATCAATCACTTGGCACCAAACTGTTAGAATATACACATTTTATTATATTTCATTTGCTTTAATATTTTATACTTGAAACAAAACAAAAAATCATATTAACTATTTATATAAAAGATTATGTGTTTGACATCTGTTTTAGAAATTATTTGAAAGGAATTACTATTCTTTCCCCACAATAATAATAATGAGGTGCTGTATTTCCAATAATATTAACAAAAACCCAATGAAAGAATTCTCTCCAGGAGGCCCCACTTATAATGGAGTCCTTTTATCCACAAATACCAAGAGATATAGATTTACTGCCTGCTAGATTAACAGTACTAAAAAAATTATTTACAAATGAAAGCTTTATAAAGAATGAAATCTGCTTGAAAGTAAGACATTATTAATGTTACTGTGTAACAGTATGCTTAAAGAAAAACAATAGTACTGTAAAAACCCATTTCATGTAACAAAATCCTTATATGGTTAATGGTACGCCAAGCGCTTTCACACACATCATTCCATTTGCTTCTTACAATACGCATGTAGATCCCCACTTCACAGATGAAGAAATAAAGGCTAAAAGCAGCAGTTGGATTTGACCCTACATTCATTCCCTCACATGCATTATTTATGCACAATAAGGAAACAACCAGTACTTACATGATTTTCAAACCAGGATTTTACTGCCAGTTCCTTACTCTTCTATCACCTCTGGTTTCCTCTGCAGCTGCTTCACCTATTTTTAACTTATTTTCTTACATTTTTCCTAATACCTCTTTAAAATCTGTATATTTTCAAGCCTCTACTAACTCAAGTCCATTTCAAGTTGATTAATTTTAATTATTTGTTTTCAATTAGCTATTCACATTTCTTACTAAATCCATGAACAGTAATATATACATTTTAGCAGGTGAAAAAACTATTTAAATGTTCTATAAAGCATAAACATAAAATAGTGAACTTGAAACAGTCATTTCCTCATTTGTTTGTAGAAATGATTAAGTAGCACATTTCACCTGCGTCCGAGAAGTCGCTTTTCCTTTGGCATCAGTCAAAAACTTCCCTTTATTGCTAATACGTGCTGCCTGTTCTTTACAGAAATTTATATGTCTATCAGCTGCATTTTCATTAAATCTTCTCTGGCAATATGGACACTGAATATAATCTAAAGCAAAAGGAAACAAAACAAATTAATAACACAATATTTGAAATGGAACATAAAGAATTATAAATTTATATAAAGACACTAGCATAAATAACATTTGGTAAACAAAATCTCTCATTTCTTATAACCACCCAACATGATTTATCCAATCTTAGTAAAGATGTTTAAGCAAAAAATCTGCTAGTATATGATAAAATCCAATGTTCTCTGAACTTAGAATCAAATTTGAGTGGGGGAAAAAAAGATAAATCCTCAATGCAAAAAAAATAAGTAGAGGAAAATGTTATTTCTTTTTTATCTCTATAATGTCACGTTTTCATCATATGTACATATTTTATATGGTAGACTATTTAAGCATAATAACACATTACACTCAATATATTTTAAAATTTAGGATCACCTATTAAAATCTATTATTTTAATTAGAGGAAAACTGTCATAAAGTAGTTTAATCAACTGTATACAGTTTTATATTCTTTTAGAGGTCTCATCAGATGAAAGTAGTAAAAACAATATACCTCATTAATGTAATTAATTCAAATTAAAGAGCAAATACTTCCATAATAGTCTATAATGCAATATATACTGTAAATAACATTTATTTTAAAATTAAATCTCCAACCCTGGGCAGTGGGGCTCAGTTGACTGGGAGTGATGCTATGCACTGAAAGGTTGCTAGCTTGATTCCTGGTCAGGGCACATGCTTAGTTTGCGGCTCAGTCCCTGGTGGGGGGCAAGCAGGAGGCAGCAGATTGATGTTTTGTTCTCACATTGCTATTTTTCTCTCCCTTCCTCTCTCTCTAAAAAATAAAAAAATCTTAAAAAAAATTAAATCTCCAAATTACCTCAAACCAAACCAAGTTTTTTAGCACTGTGAAATATCTCAATGGAGACACTGAAAAGACATGAATATAAAAATTCAGCAGTGTCCAAAAATCTCAATTTATTTACTTTTGTGATGGAGTTTACCCTTTAGAATTTACTCATCTGAAACTCAGAAACTTGTCATGCTAATTTGTGAGTAGCTCTAGAATTTCTAATAGCTAAAAAGTTGTTTTGTCAGGACTAAGAGATTAAAAAAATTTTTTTAAAATGTTTTTATTGATTTTTTAGAGAGAGAGGAAGGAAGAGAGAGATAGAGACATCAATGGGAGAAAGAAACATTAATTGGATGCCTCCTGCACACCCCCCGCTGGGGTGGAGCCCGAAACCTGGGCATGTGCTGCGACCGGGAATCGAACTAGGACCTCTCAGTCCATGGTATGACGTTCAATCCACTGAGCCACACAGGCCAGGTAAGATTTTAAAATTTCTAAAGCCCCAATCATGCTGAACAACTGGCACTCTTGCTCTCTGACATATGTTAACATGAGAAACACAGCTATGTTGAATAAGACGTGATATACAAAATGCCTCGAAAACGGAGAAAATTCAACTTCACGGGGAAAATTAGACTCAGTTGGGTCACTCCAGAATCACTCCTAGCATTAAAGCGAACTACTCTAGAACAGAGATTGGCAAACTAGGGCGCCTAGGTCAAATCCATTCTGCCTGCTTCCTGTTTGGATCAAGTTTTAGTAGAACTCAGCCACACCCATTTACTTACATATTGTCTATGGTTGATTTCTTGTAATAGTGGCAACAGAGTTGAGTAGTTGCAAAAGACTGTGTTGCCTGCGAGGCCTAAGATATTTACTATTTGGCCCTTATAGAAATAGTCTGTCAACTTCTTCTCTATAAAAATGTTAAAAATGATCATATCTAGATTTTCTAAAGAAACTTCTCTTTACTAAGAAATGCATGCCAATCTAGAATACTAACACAACTTTCATGCAGTTAATTTGTTACATTAAAATAACTACTCTTCAGGCTACTCTAGTAATCAATGTCAAAATGTCAAGTGTGCTATTTTTAAATCTTGTAATATCTTAATAACTCAAATGGGGTGGCCAGCATTCTGCCTCGCTTTTGTTAACAATAACAAGCAACTTTTACCCACACAATCAAGAAAATATAATAATGCATGCCTTTAGGGCATAATTTAGGTATATCAGTTTATATTATAATTTCCTTACAGAAACTGTACATTTTTGAAGCAATATTGATTTTTTTTCCTTCCCAGATGAGAAGATTCCAAAGAACTATGCAACATAACTGTCTTAATCTTACTGAATGACTACATTTCAATTCACAGTGGCATGATTAAAATATTTCCTGGAATATTAACATTTAATAGTTACTATAATCGTTTTAAAAATGATATTATAATGCTTTATGTTTAAATAAAAGTATTGAGATTAAAAGATAATGCATTTCTATGTTCAACATTGATGTGTCTTAATAAGCCTAAATGGTTATTATCACCATTATTTCATAGGAAAGCTTTTAAGGATTATGCTTTATCAGGTTCCATTATTATGAATTAAGTTTAATAAAAACTTAAAATTTATAAAAATTCTATCAATATTTTCTCGCCACATGAACATTACTGTCAACAACAGTCCTCATATACCGGGATCATAAGAAGGTGGAGGAGGAGGAGGAAGCTTGCCCCCCTCTTTAAGGGCCTGATCGAGGCCTTTAGCTGCTCTTATGGTGGCAATGAATTCCTCATGTTTTCTTCTCCAATTAGATGGTTTCTTTGGTGGTTCAGGCTATGAAAACAAACAAACAAACAAACAAACAAACAAACAAACAAACAAACAAAAAACCCAATCAGTTTTAGAACTTTTTTGTTCACAATTAATTGAGATAAAACTTGAGGAAATGCCGTATTACCTTAAATATTCTCTTATCAGGAGTCCTTACATGATCTTCTCAAATTTACAATTACAAAAAAGAATTTTATGCAACTATATTATATATAATTTTTAAAATGCAACTGTAACTGTGATAGACAGTAGGTTGACTTCTGCAGGTGCCGCATGCATTTGAGTTCCCACTAAGAGTGGATTTCCCTGTTTGCCCATAGTTTCTCCAACTAAGTATGTTATCATCACATTTTTTAGTTTTTATCTAAGTGGTGAAAAACTGTTCTTTCTATGGTTTGCACTGGTTTTTCTCTGATAATGAATACACATCTTTTCATATCATTAACAATCATTTGATTTGTATTGCCTTTTCTGTGAACTGTTTATATATGCCTTGTTAACTTATCTGTCAGGTTATTGGTCTTTTTTTTAAAAAAGACATAACAATTTTCAGTAACTCTTTAGAGGAGACTAGTCCCAACCCTCCCTAACAATCATGTCTTTTGACCTTGTCTAAAGGTCTTCTGATATGAAGAATTATTTTTTAAATGTAGCTTCATTTACACATCTCTTCTTTTTTGTCTCTGGATTTGTGGTCACAGTTAGCAAGGCCCAATCTCACTCCAAAGTAAAATGAGGATTTTCCATGTTTTCACCCTGAACTTTCATGGTTTCATCTAAAAAATTTTAAATCTCATTCATTTGGAATTTATCCTGATGGATGGTGTGACATACATATTTCACTTTATTATTTTTTTGTTAACATAGCTATGCAGCTATCTCAGTATCCTTTATTGACTTTTCTCCCCAATAAGCTGGGATAATGACTTTCATATTCTCTTTTGTATTTAGGCTTATTTCTGAACTTTCTCTTTTGTTCCATTCTTGTGACTATCCTTTGTCAGTCTCAGGGTTATAAATATTGAGATTTTACGATATTTTAACATCTGGTAGGATAGCCTACTTTATTCTGCTTCTTTTACAATCTTTTCTGGTTATTCTTGCATGCTATTTTTATATATTAATTTTAAAATTAGTTTGTGTGATTAAAAAAAGACTATTGTAACTGTAAAAATGAAACATTACATTAAGGAATTTAAAATCTTTATTGTGCTAAGTCTACCTATATAAGATGAGATATATTTCCATTTGAAGAAGTGTTCTTTTGTTTTCAGTAGTATTTTAAAGTATTCTTTGTGGAACTCTTATACCTTTATTATCTTAAGGTTTATTTCTCAATATTTTATATTTGGTGTTTCTCTTTAATAAAGGGTTTTTTCTTCATTTTGATTTGAAATTGTTGAAATATGAAATATAAAACTTAGTAATTTCTGTATATTAACATTATACTTGATTACTTCACTGACTCCTCTTATTATTGGTAATAATTTATTAGTTGATTCTTTGGGGTTTTTGTCTCTTAATAATGGCAATTTTACCTCCTCTTTTCCAATCCTTATACGTCTAATTTCTTAATACTATCTATCCGCTAGTACTTACCATATTAGTCAGAGGTTAATCTTGTTCCTGACTTTAATGGAACTACTTCTAAGTATCTTTCCACTGAACATGATGCTGGCACTTGTACTACCAGAGATTTAGTCATATTACTGAAATATCCAATTATTCTTATTATGTCTTTATTTTTTAAATCAAGAATATAAGTTGAATCAACAAAGTCAAAAAATGGTTGTTTCAAAACACTAATAAGGAAAGACTAACCACACACACAAAGAGAGAAAGACAGAGAGAGAGAGAGAGAGAGAGAGAGAGAGAATTAATTACCTTTTAAATTACCAAGAATGGAAAATAGTACATGATCCAGTTCTTACAAACATGAAAAAGAAAACATTATAAAGAAATTTTATGTCAATAAATTTGATAATTAAGATGAAATGAACATCCTTAGCAAACACTACAAAAAGATACCAGAAGAAATAGAAAATCACAATAGTCTTATATATATATTTTTAAATGGATCTATTATGTTAAAAACCCATAAAGAAAACTCCTGGCCCAGATGCCTTTCCTATTGAATTCTTGCAGACATTTAAGAAAAAAATAGCATCAATCTTTTAAAAACCCTAAAAAATATAAAACAAAAGAACAACTTTTCTATTAGTCTTACAAGAGCAACAAAATTTTGATTAAAAGAAAAATTATAGTCCCACGTCTTTCATGAACATAGATGCAAAAATCTTAACTAAATATAAGGGCATTTCTATGTTTGAGGTGACTGATTCTTTGACATTTTTTACATGATACTGAAATGTCTGATGACACCATTCCCATGCTCCACAATGAGAATCACTCAACTACTGGTCAGTCTTGCTGCCCTCTTCTACCTTTTTCTCATACTATCTGTATCAGTGCTGAGCTAATGGTTTTTTATTACTCATCATTGAATGAGTTAGTTTTTTCTGGTACAGCTATTTACAAGAGGTTTTAGGGAGAAGGAGAGGCCCAGGGTAGCCTTCCAGGCTACACAAACCGATAGCTCCCTTCTCTGTTTGCATCAGATACAGATGCAAATAAGGCCTCTCTGTGTGATTAGACATACCCCTTGTGCTTCTCTAAAACAATACGGGTCAAGAGGGATACTGCTGCCAGGCACACTTCCCTCACACAAGACACGGCCCTGTAGAGTGGGCCCTGCGCTCTCAGAAAGGGTATTTTCCTTTTGCTAGTGCTTTCTGAGAGCCTCTGCCACTGGTGGGGCCTCTTACCTCTCTGTACCTCTTCTCTCCACCTCCTCCCTCCTGGCTTTAGTCCATTTTGGCCAGGCTCATTCCAGTTTCTGGCTATCCAGGCTCCTGCTGCTCATCCCATTCCTGCCCTGGCTGTAGTAAACAAGGGACATACACTTCCTGATAGACCCCTCACTGTCAAGGAGTTACCTATAAACTGAGGAGAAGCCTGACCTGTAAGATGCCAGGTTCCCAGGTTCTGGGCCACAGGCCCCAGAGCAATTCCTGTGCTTCCTTTATGTGCAGCTTCTCCTGGACCTCAGTTGCTTTGGGCAGCCCTTCCATTTTTGGGGGGTCTGTGAATTATGTCTGCCTTTACTTTCTCCAAAAATGGAGTCTGCATTTGCTATGCCCCACTCCGCTTGTGATTTTATAGAATTTCCTTGATACAGATAAATATATGAGAACTATGCTACAATGTTCAAAATCTTCTAACATACTGCTTCTCAAACGTTAATATGCATATGACTCACTCAAGGACTGGCTTAAAATGAAGGTCCTAAATAAGTAAGTCTGGGTAGGACCAGAGACTGCATTTCTAACAAGTTTCCAAATGGTGCTGATACTATTACTCTATGGATCACCCATTAAGTAGCAAGAATATAAAGTACTTAATGTGATTCAATGGCTGTTACTTTGCTTTTTCCTGAAGATAATTTAAGTATATAAACCTGTAAGAAAGACATAGGATACCACTTATTAAGAGATTGCCATGGATAAACTTGTAATTTCCATAACAACACCAAAAGCTAGATGCTACAACTCCTATCACCATTTTATATAAATGGTAAGTAGCTCACCCAATGCAACATGGTAAGTAGCAGACCAGGGTTAAGACTAGGCGGTCTGATTCTTAAGCCCTTTCTTAAACCCACTATGTTACACTGCTCCCAAAGATTTCAGTAGTTTATCTTGTAAGCTAATTAAAGCTAATATAATCATATATCTGGCAGGTGACTAAGAAAACTCCAAATTATGGTTTACCTTATTCAAACTTCACCAATATTCCCTTAGATAGGTGAAAATTAAAAAAAAAAAAAAAAACATCTGATTTTTTTATTACCAAAAGATTTTGTTAGTAAGATTAATTTTCCCATAGGGAAATGTTTTTCCAGTACCACTGGGAGAAGTTATTACCACTGAAAGCAGGGTTTTGTTTAAAAAAATCTATTCATGAGGTTCTCAAATTTTGACTATTTCAGTGAAATAAATCTTTAAAACTTTTTTGGATAAAATATTTACATGACTCATTCTGAGTAGTATAACCTATCACGGTGGTATTAAAGAGACATTATCATAGGAGATTCATTGCTTTGATTACAAGAAAGAAAAGAAGCTGACTATTGCTGTGTGGATAGTTAAATAAATAATAAAACTTTCCCCCAGAAAGTATAACAAGATTATAGTTATTGACAATCAATCAAGAGCATCAATATCTATTATACTGAAATATCTATAAATAATAGCTTTACCTTTGCATACAAAGATTACACTACTGGTAAGAGAGACCTGAACACACTTAAAGTATAGCTGAGGTTATTAACAATGACCTAAAGGAACGTGTCAGGAACACTTTTAATGATTTCCAGGCTACAGCTGAGCAAGTGAACCTCCAATGCTACAAAAACCTCACTGCAACAATTGGAGTTTTGACTTCTTCCATTTCTGAAGTCTAAAATAAGTGTGTGATCAATTCTACAATGAGAACATTATAAAATCTTAGTATAACAGATAATTACAATTTTTTTCTATATATATAGTAGCAAGGTTCATACTGTTCAAAGGTTATAAGATTACCCTAGGTTTAAGAGGTTTTACTGTTGGAATATCAGTCCCTTCAGCTCTTTGTCTGCTCGAATCAAAAGTCTTCCTTTTTTTAGTGGCAGTTTTCTGACAAATGGGTCCATGTTTTCTCTGTAAGGATGAAGAAATGCAATGTATTAATTTCATTTCCAAAGACAGGAAAACTTTAAATTGTCATTTTAGACCATTTTAAAAACCTGAAGATAAAATAAAATAATACATAAATAAGACAACTGTTTAAAAGTATATTTAATGCATGCTATTGGCTTTCTTTCTCACCATAAGAAAGTATAGATAAATACTCTCTCAAAATTTTATTGAGTTATTTAATATTCTCTTAGTTTCACACTGCTAAGAATAGGGGTACTAATGTCACTAAGTCAAAGCTATTAGAGTAAGGAAAAAGTTATTTTCATCATTAAATACTTGAAAATGAATACTAAAAAAATGTATATAAGGAGAATGCATTTGAGTTAGGATTACAAAGTTAATAGAAGTAGTTTGATTTACTAAAGCTAACATAAAACAGTAGGATAAAGTGGTCATATTTGTATCCTTTCTCCACAATCATCCCTTTCCTCCCTCTGGGACTCAAGTTTCCTACCATGCTTTACCAAGGGTTTTTCTTGAGCTCTCTAGTGTTCCATTCCTACAGGTATTTTTCTAAACATGGTTGCCAACTCATGCATTCAATCTTTCACATATTCATTCATATTAAGAATGCTACAATGGAAACTCTCTTAACTGACCTCCAGTTAACCTATTGGATAAATAATCCTTTTCCCTCTGCTAAATAAAACATGCTGATGATATCAGTGCACTAAATGCACTTTTTTCTTTTATATTTTGATAAACAGTAACTGAACAAGCCGAGAATGTTAAACATTACCTGGGACAAGAGGAAACTTCCAAACTGGCTGTTTCAGTGCCATGGAGCCTCTCATATTGTTCAATATACAAATAGTAATCAATTGTTTTACATATTTGCTTTCATTTTGACAAAGAAGCACTGTAATCATAGTTATTAAAATAAAATCTTTTAAGTATTAAAAAGTGTGGCTAGCAAGCGCCTTTCTAGTAGACGTCTTTCTCATACTGAGTTTCTATGTCAAAGATATGTAGTGCTTGTCCCCAAAACTGAGGTATATCCAAGCTGTAGTTGTTATAGTGATTACACGATATAATTAAATCTATTACATAAATAAATGAGTGCAAAAAAAGACTTTTTTTCCTAACTCAGATGAATGCTTTGAAAATGATTTGAAAAAGTAAACTGATTTTTAAAAACCACTGAATTAAGTGTGGGAAAGCTGTTTGAAGAATTAAGAAAGGGGCAGTCATTTAAAAGGAGTTTGCAGTCACTGACATTTATGGATCATTAATTACTCACTTTGCTTTAAAGAAACAAATTAGAACTATTAAGAAGATGAAAAATGCTATGTGGTAGAACTCTAATCAGCAGGTCCATATTCAAAGAAAAGTCTTTACATCAAAATATTAATAAATGTATATTTATTTTGAAGGTATAATAGAATATGCAAGCTACACAGGCATTTTTTTCTTATTCTCTATTTAGATGGCTATTTTATGTTAAAGTCGGTTAAATTTGCTTTTTTATTTGTATATACTAAGTATCTAAAAATGCATAATATATTTTAGGTACACTTTTAATTGAAAACAATTTTTGTTTGGACTATTTCAAACATACTTACTTAATTCCTGAGAAAACAGTGTAATGATCTCCCCTTTACTCACTGCCCTGCTTCCACAATTACAAATATTTCAGCAACCTTCTTTCATTTATCCCAGCTTTTTTTCCTGAAGTACTTTAAAGCAAATCCCAGACACTATATCATTCTGTACCTTTAAGTACATTTTGCATTTCTAAGAGTTTTCTGTTTTGTTTTTGTTAATAGCCCCACAAAGAGAGGAATACTTTAACACTTTATTAGAGAAGCTTTGAAGACCAACCTAACTCTAAAGGGAAGAGACTACTATGGAAAAAAGACATAGATGGGACTTATACTCTTGAACAAAGAACACTAGCCAGTATCCCTTCTAATTATTTCACAGGTTCTTTCCATAAAAGTTGTCCAAAAGTATTGAGCAATTACAGATCTATCAAATCACAAAAGAAGGGTACTCACTAAAGCCATTGGAAAAAATGTTCTTCCACAAATCTTGCAAGGTAATAGTTCTCCAACTTGGACACTTCCATTTTCTAAAACGGAAAGGAATTTACTCAATAAATTTTATGTTCACACTGTGAAACTTCCAAGTTTTAATGTCTGCTCTTAGCTTCATATGTAAGTTGTCAGTTCTTGTGAAAAAATGTCGTTTTATTTGATATAAGCAACATTATCAATTAAAATGGGCACAAGACTTAGAGTTGATCAGTGGTCAACAAACCCATGCCAAATACAGAAGTACTGAGTCAAGATAACCAAATTGATATGTTGGAAGTATCTGATTTACTTTTAACCAAATTAATTTACCATATCCTCTTAATTTACAGGATATCTCCTTTATAAATCACTGAACTTTTTTTTTTTAATCCTTACCAGGCGATATTTTACAATTTATCATCAGATAGAGTGGGAGGAAGGGAGGAAGAGAGAGAGAGACGGAGAAAACATCAACAAGATAGAGCCACATGGACTAGTTGCCTACCCCACGACCTGACAGGGGCCAGGGAGGTGCCACTGACTCACTAGTCCGTGGGCCAATGCTCTAATTGCTGAGCCAAACCGACCAGGGCTAAATTACTGAACTTTAAAAAATCAAATTTATCTTAAGGCTAATATTATACATTATTAATCTGTAAAGCAGTGGTTCTCAACCTTCCTAATGCCACGACCCTTTAATACAGTTCCTCATGTTGCATGTGGGCCTATCTGCATGGGCGGACCCGCCTGGAGACAGATAGAGGAGCGGTGTCTCGGTTCCTAAGACCATCGGAAATAAGTGTTTTCCGATGGTCTTAGGTGACCCCTACGAAAGGGTCAGTTGACCCCTAAAGGGGTCGTGACCCCCAGGTTGAGCACCACTGCTTTAAAGCATTCAGAAATAACACTGGTGATCAGTGAGTTGGCTTCATGAGATAATCTAGGATAAAAAGAATCTTGTTCTGTTTAAAACCATATAAAGTAGAAAGTATATGCTTTAAGGAAAAGATCACCCAGTTACTATGCAAACAGGTGTATTATGTGAATTGTTCATTATTTTAGACATATTAAAATTCAATAGTCTAGCAAGATGAGATATTCTGACCTTAACAATATTAAATTATTTAAGTAAGATAGAAGTAGCAGCAACTTCTACTCAGTCAAACATTAATATAGTCCTGACTGGGTGGCTCAGTTGGTTGCAGTGTTATCCCTTACACCAAAAGGTTGTGGGTTCAGTTCCTGGTCAGGATACATACCTAGGTTGAGGTTAGATCCTCCACTGGGATGTGTGAGGCAGGCAACCAATAGATGTTTCTCTTTCTCTCCCTCTCTCTCCCTTCGTCTCTCTCTAAAAATCAATAAAAAAAATTCTTTGGGTGAGGATAAAAAAAAAAAAAATGAATACATATATCATGTACTTTCATGCAACAAATTTTGTTATGAAAATGATAATAGAAACCACATTCTCTGGGATTCTACATAACTGAATCAATTTGTCATTTTATTACCTAGCAAAATATCAACCTAAATTTATTTCCATACCTGTAATTTTCTAAAAATGGTACTTGAACCTGTATCTTTACCACATTTTCTCATGAATATTTTACTAATTGTTCATATTCTTTTATCATATGAAAGACAAATAGAAAAACATTTTCTTTTAGAAGTAACATAAATAAACTCATGCATAAAGTACAATTATGACTTCATATAATTTGTTCCAAAGCTTTCATTTAGTGGATTCATGAAAACTAATCAGGAGAATCAAGAGACATTGGTGGTAATTCAATGGACGGTAACAGAGGAACTGGTTTGTTCTCTCTTCTAATATTCCACTGCCCTATTTCAGTTGCAGATAGTGACTATTTGTCACCTCAGATAGAGGCAATGTCTGTGGTGGCAGTTAAGCAGCGGGCACTACAAAAGCAAAGCTAAGATCTGCCTGATTTGTCCTTCTCCAATACCAGAGGCCAGGTTATTTAGGGAGAGCAACTTCATTTATCTGGATCACTTAATTCCAGTTGTCAATAAAATACATTAGGTATATTAGAATAAAAATGTCTTCACAATGATGGTCAAAGTGATATCACATGCTGCATAATCTATCTAGTTTGCTTATTTATAGTTTTCAAGTATTCCTTTAATTTCTAAGCAATGATTTCAAAACTCTTCAACCCAAATTGTTAAAAAGAATCACATATTTTACTTCAAAGTACATTTCAGTATCTCTTTGTTAAACAGATGACAAAGTAAAATCTTATAAAAATTTACTATTGAGAAAAATCAATTCAACATATGGAAATAATGTGAGTGCCTACTTGGAAACCTACTTGCCAACTATATGCCCAGTAATAATGACATAATGACAGAAGGGTGGAATGACAGATTCACTGCTCTCATAAAGCTAAGAGTCCACATGATTTATGTCTTCATATAGCTAAGAACCAAATAACCTTCCCACCTTTTCTAATTCAAAAACTTAAAACTTAACAGCAACTAGAAAACAACAATATAATAAATTCAACTCCTGGGATTAATTCCTACAAATTAAGCAACATGTTCAAATTGTCTTTAAAGGAAAAGAATATCATTATCACCAAAAAGGCATTAAAAAAGAGGTACAACATTAAAGGAAAAAAACCAAAAACTTATAAACAATTATCTAAAAAATTTTAAATTACTGTGTTCAGAATAAATAAAGATATATAAATTTCTATTTTTCTTATATTAGCTGGTCTTAGGAAATGGCCTTATAAGGTATGACTAGTCATAAAGGCAGCCTCAGTTTAATAAGTATATAATATCTACTCAATCTACCTTAAAATTTAAGAGGATCAACTGAGATGGTACATATAAAAATGCTTCCCAACCAATGAAATAAAAAAAAAAAATACACTCTCCAGGACATGCAGGCAAACTCCACTAATCTCTCCTGAGTACCAAAAGCTAGCAAATTGTACAACTTATAAAAATACAGTAGAGAAATGATATTCAGAGGGGTGATTATTATAGCAGAGGGCAAACACTGTGGAAAGAAACATTCAAACTGATGGACACAACCAAGTATATAAAGTACTTTAATATTCTAAAACTCTCAAGAAGCCAACCTCGCCTTACAAAATTGATCCTGCACACATTATTGATTGTGCTATGAGTTGCTCTATTTAACAACTTCAAAACCTGCAAGATAATAAGTCTTAAAATGGTATCTTTGTATAATACATTATGTAGGTGATGTCAAATAATATGCTATTATCTAAAATAGTTATGACATTCTAAAATGCATAAATTTTAAAAATAGGAGAGAACATTTTCAACAGAAAAGAAGGTCTGGAAATTAAGAATAGTGCTGGCCTCTGTGTGGGATGTTGGTTTCCTCACATATGAATCCAACCTTTAAAACTCAATAAACCTCCCTTTTGAGGCACATGGCATCTGTGATATCAACTGTGTCCCTATACCCTTTCCATTACTTCCAGTTCAACAATCTTTACCATCTCACAGGATTTCCCTTTTTCAGCTCATGCTAGATTTCAACCTTCACACTTAACCTACTGAACACATAACCTTCACCCTTCACTCCATTTCAGTTCAGCAAACCAAGGGTCTGCCTCAGGACTCAAAAAACTCAAGCTCCCTTTCCAGTCACAGACTACTAGAACCTTCTACTGCTCTCTACATCACTTTCTCGATATCAGAGTGACCTCCATGTTCCAGATAACCTAATCCTGGCTGCACTTCCCATTCTATCTAGTTTGAACCTGACTAGTCATTCTCTCAACTTTGACCAATCACCCTCATATTTCTGGTTCCAAGGTCAAATGTCTGGAAATTTTTAGATGAAACAAATGGGTTTTCTTAAAACAAAACTTTCTCAATTTTATAAAAGAGAGTTTGTATGCTGTTACTTCCCCAACAGAAATCCTTTCCAGACCCCCACCCCAAGAGATACTTAGGACCGATGTCCCAAGCAGCACATTTTTGGAAACTCATGTACTGACTAGATGCTCCCTGCTACCTCTCATTCACTCCCTATCTAAACTGCAGGCAAACTTTATTAGGTCTAATCACTGTATTAAAATAGATCCATTTGTTGGTTCAATAAGAACATATGTATTGAGCACCTATGAGATGAGAGCTGTTCTGAAAGGTAGGAAAACAGTGATGAGAAAAACAAAGACGCAGATCTCATGAAGTTTCTATTCCTCTAACAGAAAAAAACATAAATAAAAACAATTACATGTATAAAATGTCAGGTGATGATAAGTGCAATGTAAAAAAATAAAGCAAAGTAAGGGGAGAGAGGACAGTCATATAATGCTATGTGTATGTGTGCTTGGGAGAGGGCAGGATCAGAAAAAGCTGCTTTAAAAAGGAGATATTAGCCTGGCCGGTGTGGCTCAGTGTTTGAACGTCAACCCATGCACCAAGAGGTCACTGGTTTGATTCCCAGTCAGGGCACATGCCCAGGTTGTGAGCCAGCCCCCAGCAGGGGGCATGCAGGGAGGCAGCCAATCGATGTTCTCTCTCATCGATGTTTCTATCTCTCTCTCCTTCTCCCTTCTTCTCTCTCTAGAATCAATAAAGAAAAAAAAAACTAAGATAAAAAGGAGACATTAGAGTAGAGACATTAAGAAATACCATTCATCTACTAACGGTCAAATTCAAAAGTTAAATTCTTTTGAATCCTCATCCTACTGGACCTTTCTATAGCATTAGGCACTGTCGATCAATCGTTTCCAACTTTAAAGTCCTTTCTCTATTGGCTGCAATGTTTGTCTCTCCTAAGCCCAAGTTTTTCAGATCTCAAGCTAAGCTAAGTCTGACCTGGTTAGTACTTAGAGACCTCCAGGAATACCAGGGGCCACAGGCATTTTTTTTCTGGAACATACTGTCCTTTCTTGACAATGTTTAAATCTCTTCAATTTCCCCTCTTGCTCATACTTACATCTGTTCTGCCCAAGTTTCTTTCCTCATTTCTTTAAATATAGCTTTCCTGGGTGAATGCATCCATTTGCTAGCATTTCTATGCTGATGACTAATAAACTAAAAGCTCCAGAGGAATACTTCCAAATACCTATGAGACTTTTCTACCAGATATCCCCCAAGTACTGCACAAACACAACATTTTGAAAGCCAAACTCATTACCTCATCTCCTAAACTTGGTTAAAGATATTAATATTACCTCTCAGTCAAAGCTAGAAAGCTGCTTTATCTTTGATTCCTTTTCTTTCTCACATCCAGCAGTTGTATCTCATCTTTCTAGCTCAGAAATATCATCTAATCTATCTTTTTAATTCCTGCTACTTTTCCCTTAGTTCAAATTCTCATCACATATGTATTTATACCTCTCCCTTCTCCTACTTTCCTGGTGCCATGGTTATTAAGAAGGACTGCCCCTCATTCCTTCAAGCACTCTGTTTTACTAACACTGAACTGCTCTTAAGCTCCGAACATACTTTCTGTGGTTTTATCCAACCAATAAACAAGTACTGAGAAGGCCTATGTGCTAGGCACGTCACTAAATGCTTAAATATGTCACATCATTTAATAATTAATATACTTCAGGCAGATTGGTATTTAATAGCTCCATTTTTTATAGCTGAGGAAACTGAGGTTCAGATTAACTCTACAAATCATATAGCTAAAAAGAAACAAAGCAAGGATCCAAACACAGGCCTCTCCAATATACTGGTTACTAAAATACCTAGCAACTGACTCAGTACCAAAAAACAGTGACTGTTAGATACATTAATAAAGATGAATAAGTATTCAGTAAACTAATGTGTGCTTAGAGAAGCAGAACAAATAAGAAACCCCTGTAAGACAGGATGGCTGTCTTCCACTAGATCAAGGGCTACACCAGAGAAGAGCAACCAGTCTTCTCATCAAGTTGCAGAGGCAGTACACCAAGATCTACTAACTTGAACAGTCCAAAAGAGGGTGGGCAACCTGATCGAACTCTGTCACAGGTGTTAAAAACCTCTTATCACGGTATTATCAAAGGAATGACGAAGCTTTATATATGGATAAAATCTACTTAGGATTTATTATCTCTCCATTTTACAGATGAAAAGCTTATGAGAGAGTGGAATCTTCCCAAGTCTGGAACTAACCCCCCTACCCTTACATTTACCTATTGGTCACAAGATATAGATGAAAAAGAATTAAAGGCTTTCGTCTAATTATCCACATAATACAAAAGTGCTCAGATATAGTTTATACAAAATCACGAGAAATCGCTGATATTTGGTTTTGAAATAGTGTTCAGCCTAATTAATCTCTTGACAATTCAGGAAACATAAAGGTACAGGAAAACCAAAAATAACATAAATGGTATAAAGTACACATGCAAATAAAGTTAAGAAAATATGATAACAGAATTTTTCAGGGGTCCATATATTTTCTGTGGAGTGCAATATTTGCTCAGTTACTATGATATGCTAAGCAAACTTCTAAGATTTTCCACTGGATACAGCAATTTAATATTTATTAGACAAGTTCAAGGTGCTAGACTTTAACTTCCAATAGGGCAAAAAAAAATATCTATCATTATATCAAGGTTTACAAATAAAGACATAGATGAATTACTGAATGGTAACCTTAAGACTCAAAGTTTTGATCTTTGCAAAGTGTGACCTCACAGGGACAGATTTTTAAAAAGAAAAAAAGAAAAAGAAAGGCACTATCTTTTAACTTCAACAAAAAAACTCTCAGCTTTTATTTTATTAGTTTAAGCCATTTGAAATTATGAATATTCACTTGTTCTTCCCTACATAAAGGACCAAAAAAATCATATGAAGAGTAAAGAGCAAACACTGTTTAACATGATACATCACAAGCTGGGCCCATAAACATGCCCATCATAACATACTACTATACCAGAATTCATGTATTTCTCCATCCATGTAACTGAGTGTTGTAATAGGCTTTCATTATATTTTAAAAGCATTCTTAAGATGTCAGTAGCAATGTCTTGGCACTGCTAAAATATAAGTTCACTAAAACGTAGGCTCAGTGAGAGCAGGGCTTTGACTCTTTATTTGTGGCTGCATCCCAGGCCCTAAAATAGTGCCCATTACAGCTAAGTCATTTATTCAACAACAAAGATTTACTGAGTACCTACTTTGTGTCAGACACTGTTTTACGTGCTTGGCATACACAAGAGAGGAATCAAATGAAGATTTTTGCCTTAATTACAAATGTTGAATAAAATAAAAATCTGCAGAGAATCTGTTCTAGGTACTTTTATGTGTACTATGATAACTTTGTGAGAGTTTCAGAACCCCAAATCCTACTATGCTATAATACTACTACCTTTTATTTTTTTATTATATATTTTTTCTTTATTGATGTGGGAGAGAGAACATCCATTGGCCACCTCCCACACGCCCCCCACTGGGGATCAGGCCCACAACCAGGGCATGTGCCCTAACTGGGAACCCAACTGGCAACCTCTTGGTGCACGGGTCGATGCTCAACCACTGAGCCACACTGGCCGGACAATACTACTACCTTTTAAAGTTCATTGAAAAAAAATTCCTCCAGCAGTCCTCTAAACAAAAGTATTCTGAAAGTAAGGAGTTCTACCATTGTAATTCCTATTTCATAGAAACTTGAATGGTCTGCCTAAAATGACTTACATAAGCAAAGAACAAGACCTTCATTTGGAACAATATGCTGCAGTTGCTCACAAATAGACATTTATCATAATCCTTGAGGTGTTTACTGAGAACTTCAACTAAGGGCAAAAGCATGAAAGACTATAGTGCTCATTACATTTGCTTTTTTGTGAGCTTAGGTCACTGCAGTTATAACTTTTCACTTGGTAACACGATCTGAAATAATTTATTCTTTAACTTGCAATAATGCCTAGAGGCTCAATGCATCTGCTTATTCTTAATTCCACCTGAATCTATTAGGACAACAGAAAGAGCTAAATCCAGACAACAGAATCTTTCAATTCCGCAGGTTTATTCTTCATCAGAAGGATTAACCACAATTTGAAAAATAATCTTGAAACTGTTGTTGCCAATGCTACTCGGGTGTTTTTCTGTTTTTGTTTTTTCTTTTGTTGATTTTAGGCGAATGCTATATTACAGAAGATAAAATGGGTAAAGGGTATGGGGTGGGGGGAGAACTGAGAACAAAGCAAAATCTGGAGTCACGGTTACAGCACAACGATAAACCCAAAGATAAGGAATCAATGATGGCTCTTCCATACAGGGTCCTTGTGAATAACCCCTTAAATCCTTCTGTTAATCTATTGTCCCCGCTCTAAAGCTGGCCAGTGACACTTCCTTGGAAGATGCTCTTGGCACCCTTCCCATAGAAGATGCTATATAAATGGAAAAACGGTTACCTAGGAAAACTGGCCAAGGAAAGTGTCAGAAGCTCGAGGCTGGCGACACACTTCAGGGCCCCAGCAAACACTGGAGGTGGGGAGGCTGTGGCCATTCATGGAGGGTCCTCTTTGCAAGGAAAATGAAATCTGGCCGGAGGCTGTGATTACCAACAGGACAGTAGGAGTCAGGCTATACCAAAAAATGGTCGGAAGGGACCCGCAGGCGTGTGCCAGCGGCAGATGAGGCTCCGGGTGGGGAACCTCCACCGAAGACCGTCCCAGGCGGGAGCCTGCGGGTCCTGAACCCCACGGCGTCGGTGGCTCCTGGGCTCCCCCCCCCCCGCCCGGGCCTCCGGGGACTCCGCGGCGTCCGCCGCTCCGGACCTGCCCTTACCTCCCCGGTACCGGTGTCCAGGACACCACAACTGCTCCGGGTCCGCTCCAGCGGCCCGACCCGCATCCCTTCACCCCCTCACCTTCCAGTCCCTCCATCGCGCCACCTCCTCGGGCTCCGGGACACTCCTCGGGCAGCGCCCGCCACCGCCCAGCTCCCCAGCTCCGGCTGTAGCAACGCGGCCGCGCCTCCCACCCGCTAACATCCTGAGCTCCTATTGGTCAGCACTGGGGGCGGGACTTAGAAGGGGCGGGGCCTGGGGAGGTGAGCCGCCCGCAGCCTCCGCGGTGCTGCTTCCAGGCTGCCAGCTCCTTGGCGATACGGCCTTAAACCCAACCCGGTGTATGGCCTTCCGCCGCGCAACTGCGCCTTTGTTCCATTCTAGTCGTGTTGCCCGAAAGGCTTATTCTCCTGTTCTGATGATCTGAGCACCGCATAGGCTCCCCATGGCCAGTCCCTCAAGCAGTCCTTGCGGTTCTGTGTTCCTGGCCGCACCTCGAAGGAATGTTTAAGCCAACACGCAAACCAGATGCACATCCTGCATGCTGCACACTCTCCATTTCCAGCCCTTTGGTTACATGGCTTGACCAGAGAGCATTCCCTAGACGATCTCTCACACAGCTTTCTGAACTAAGCCCCTTGTTCCCAGATAGCACACTTTCTGTCCGGGACGTTGAACTGAGATTGTAGGGAGCACTTGAAAACAGATTCCTCATCTGCATCTTCTCTTGGCCCACCCCAACCCTCCATCGTTGAGCTCAGGTAGCCTGCTGGCCTCCCCACTGATGTGGTAACATCCACACTAAGTTAAAGGACGAACTGATCTACAGCTGACCGAATGAGGCCTGTTGCTATCAGTCATAACTAATTGGAAATAAAGGTGTCGACTCGCAAGAAGGACTGTATCTGCCAAAATGGACTACTTGTGGTTAAAAGGGCCCAGTTAGAACAATCAGAATCTAGCAGACAGTGTTTGCAGAGGCCTCTCCCTCGGGCTTCCAGTGAGGGAAAAGCTGCATCTCCAGTCCTAGCTGCACAGTGGTATTCGCATCTTTGCTGGCCAATCAGAATGGCTCCAGAAAGACCAATCAGGACGTGCAGTTCTGAACAATCATGACAGTGCTATCTGGGCCAATCACACTGCAAGTATGGGTTCCTCGTTTGCATAAAAGTGGATTAATCAGGGACCAGGGTTGGGAGTCTACTCTCCAGGGTTTCCGTTCGAGGCTGGATTTTCACAAAAGTGCATTTCCTCCTGTTGAGGCTGTGTTTCTCAGAGTTTGCAAACTTCATCAAAAAAGAGAATGAAGTTTCTCCTTTTACTGCATGCCAGACTGGGGACACCTGTTGGCATCGGCTTGGGGGCAGCAACCTTTTTGTTGACAAAGGTAACTTCAAAACTAGCTAAAACTTTGCTTGACAGTTTTACACATGTCACCAGAACTAAATTTTTTTGAAAACTTGATGCGGCAGTGATAAACTATATTGTTTGTTAACGTGAGTATATCTACTGTCAACTTATCAGTTTTAATATTATTCCCTAAGAAATCTTAGAATGATTTTTCTTATTAATCTGTTCAACTGTAAAGTTTGACGTTATCTCTTTTTGTTTACTGTTAAATGTATATTATAAACAGTATGTATCTTACAGCAGCCTTTAAGAAGCAAGAGTCCTATTCTGCATTCAGATGAAAGTATTACAAACATACACTTGAGGGAGACCAGCTTTTACTGGGGAGGTGCTTTAAGTGCGTTTGAATGTGGTATGGTCCATCTCTTACATGCAGTCATAGAAGGGAAAACTTCAACCTTGCCTGTTTGGACACCTGCCTATCGTCTGATCCTCTCAGGTTCTTCTGCGCCTCAGAGATCTGAGACACTGGTCCTAGCTGGCCAAACTGCAATCAGCTTCCCACTTAATACAGTCCCTCCCACCCCCACCTTTGGATTAAGTGTGGAAAGGTCCTCTTTTCTCAGTGCTGCTAAGACAAAGTTATATTTGGGCTAGGGGCAACTTTAAAAAGAACACTAAGGAAGACAAAGCACACAAAAGAAATGTCAAGCCCTGCCGGTTTGGCTCAGCCGTTAGAGCATCAGCCCCCAATCCAGAGAGACCAGTTTGGTTTCCCCTAAGGGCAGTACCTCGTTGCAGTTTGTCCTCACCCGGTTGGGGTCCTGTGGGTGGCAACCAGTCTATGTGTCTCTCTCATTGGTGTTTCTCTCTCTCTCTTCCTCCGTCTCTCCCTCCTGATCTATCTTAAGATAAATGCAAAAATGTCCTTAGGTGAGGATAAAAAAAGAGGAAGAGTAAAAAAATAAAGAGGCAATTTACAAATTACAGGTTCTTGAACTGAAGTCAAGACAGTTTGAGTTGGCTGATTCACACCTTGTTGGGCATAAAAGCTACAGTAACAACAAAACAATAATAGTGATAACAATTTAAAAAAATCACATTAGGCATGTTTTAGGTCTTTTTCATATATTTCCTTATTTAACCTTAAAAACAGTTCTACCAAATAGATACCATAATTTTTATTTTTTAGAATTAAAGTTTTCATTTTTTAGATGTCTCAGAGAGATTACATTCCCTCCCACCCTCCAATATTTATACACTAATGAATGGTAGCTGGTCTGTCTGATTCTACTTTATGACAATTTCATGGGATTCCTCACCTTGCCTTCTAGCTGCCTTAAAGGTAAAGGCAAAAGTTCAGTTATGCCATTTAAGGAATATTTGGGTAGTCATTACTATTGTGAAAGTTAATCTTCTGAACCATGCCTGCTAATTTCCTCTGCAAGGATTGGGCTCGCTACCCTGGCTTCTGCACCTTTTCTCTGGTCCTGAACCTTGGGTGAAGAGGATAATATCTTATTTGCTGTCCTAAGTTCCTTCCTCTGCCTCCTACTTGTATGGTCTGAAAGTCTCTCCGATCTTGGTGCTCTCTTCTGATTTTACCTCCTCTCTAATTCATTCCATTTTTCTGACATATTCATTCAACAAATATTTGTTGAGGACCAATAATGTTTCAGGCCGCTTTCATTACTAGCCATTTACTAAAATGAATGAAGTTCAGTTTATTCTCTTATGTTCCTAAGCGCTTTTCTGTTCATATGTTTTTTTAGCTGTCAAGTTTTCTTAACTGACTATAACATTCATAGATGAATATGTATTAGAGATCTCCTGAACCCTTGATACAAAAATTTTTAAAAAGCAAAGGTTCGGAGATATTTACTGGCTCAACCTAGATCTCAAGACTAGCAAGTAGCTGAAATAGATATTGTACCCTTTTTAAAATTACATCATATCCCTAGTTCTTTCCACTTTGCATTCCTTTCCATTCAATCACCATTTCCTGGAGCCAATCCACATCTTTTCTGCATCTTTCAAAGGGCTGAGCAAGCTACATATATCTTCTGTTTCAAAGCTCCAACCTTCTGTTGTTCTTACACAAGGATCAGTTTCCCTATCAGAGACAACCTTTGGCTCTCATTCAAATTGTTTGCAGAGCACACAGCTAAATGAGATTTTGAATTCCAGTGAGAATCTAACGAAAGTTTATCAACTCTGCTATGTAGTGTGCTTCTTCCTTCCACAGCCTACAGAGGAATAACCCACTACAACTTAGTATGTAAAAATGAATTCATACATTTAACAATCATAACAAAATGATAATTTTCATCAAAAATATAAGCATAGTTCCCTTAATGTTGAGGAGAAGGGGCTATTTAACAGTTCCAGATTGAAGAAGCACATCTGAGTTGGCTCTTATTAGTTTTATTTTGTAGACTGTAGTAAAAACAAAATTCTTTGCATGTTCAGGGAAAATTTAGTGATAGTCCTAGACAAAAAAACACCAAGCGATGGACAGAGGGTTAGATGGCTACTACATCCATAGTGTGATAGCGATTAGCCTATCTCTTTTTTTCTCTAGTTTCAAAAGGAACTCCAATTCCAGAAGGAACCTGGGTCCTCCTCCACTTTCAAAACTAATCCCTAGCTGCAAAAGGATACATTTTTTCATCTTTAGTTATGAGCCCATCTATCCATACCTGAGCCCATCCACCACAATTCCAAATCTCAGCTGAAAATCTATGAATTCAGACACTTACTGGAATACTCCTATGTATGCAACAATGTTCTAAGCATAACAGGAAGCTCCAAAGACTTCTCTCTGGTCTCTGCTGGTTCAGTACTGGTTGTTAACTTCCTGAGAGGTTAACAAGAGTAGTGAAAGCCCCAGGACAAGACATAATACAGAACAGTAGAGAACAATGTATTCAATATGTTATGAAGATGTAGAGTAATTGGTTTCAGGAAGACATTTACTGTACATGAGTGAAACAATTGTAAAAGTTTTATAGAGATATAGAACTTAAATTGTGTCTTGAAGGGTGTCATTGGATAGGTATAGATCACTGAGGATGGGGAGCATGGCCTAAATATTCTTAAGAAAATAATGCAAGCCTGGAAAGTTCTGGGAAAGTTAGCAAAAGAACATGTGTGCTAACCCATGACCAGAGGGAAGGAGCGGGGGTAGGGGCGGGGTGGAGGTGAGCAAAGGAGGGAAAATGGGACACCTGTAATAGTGTCAACAATAAAAATAAAGTTTAAAAATTAAGGAGAGTATTAATATATATTTTTGTACATGCTGTATATTTTTTTCCTGTTTAAGTTACAAAGTACAGGCATTATTATATAATTTATATATTTTTAATCTCAAGTTGTTGAGTTAATACTTTCTAGCATACAGCACAAACATTAACTGTCCATGCAAACACATCTCTTTCTTTTTCATTTCATTTTTTTTTTTTTTTGCATCCTTTATTTTAACTTCATCAGCCTCCTCACTATAAGCACCATTATCTTGTATTTAAGCTCTAAGTTAACAGATATCTCTGGATATATGTGGTTCCTTGAAACATGTATGGTACTTTTTTATACATGCATATGTTTTTAATTTATATACATGACAGTTGACTTCATTCAGTTTGTAGTTTTAAAATAAATATTCATTTGGAGATTCACTGATGCTGCTCTATGTAAGCACTAGTTTATTGCTTCTGAATGCTGGATAGTATTTTACTGTGTGCATCCACCACATTTATTTACCTATTTCTGCAGTGATGGTCATCCAGTTGCCTCTTACCTGCTTCGACA